TTTTTCTCTGTAAATCTACAAAAATTTTAGCATTCACCTTTTCGAGATTATTTTTTACCAATTGAAGCTGTCGTTCTTTTTGATGAACCTGTCAGATGGGAGACATGTTTACAATTAATAATTGATGTTTTAATGACTAATGGAAATCTTTCGTCGCCGATTATTCCACCGCCGGTTTCACATTTACCTATTCTAGCTTCAAATGCTGATCTTTTGTGGATGGCTGAAGCTGCACTGCCAAGGTAATTCTTAGAGAAGAATATTTAAATTTGTTTTAAGTTGTTCAATTATAACCGCTATTCTATAACATTGTTGATTTGTAAAAAAGAAATATATTAACATCAGCCTTGCAGTTTACAAGTTAAAAATTATTTCAGTCCATTCAAATTAGATCTGTTTTCTTTTTTTCTATCATAGAGTATAATCTTCATTTCATTTTCTCATCTGTTTTATGACAACTATTGTAAAATTGCACTATAAAAGATTTTTCTTGATTGTTCTCATTCAAGTTTGATTGAATTATTTTAAATGATCTTCAAAGAGATGAAGATCATTCTTAATTATAAGACTTATCATTTTCTTCGTATTTAGCTCGTTGTAACTGTTATGATACATCGTAGTTTTTTATAGAACTACAAAAATAACAATTCTCAGAAGAATAGAAAAGTTTTTAATCAAGAAGTTTCAAATAGGTGTTTAATATGAATTGATCATATAGAAATAAAAATGATTCTATTTGAAATAGATTCGGGCATGGATCATTCTTGCATTGTCTGGAAAACTTATACGAAGTAAGCATTGCTTATTTCTTTCATACTAACGAGATCGTTGATTTAAATAAAGAAAATATCCGGTCATCCATTACAATATACTGCTATTGTTGGTAAACCAAGTGAAATAACGTTTTATCATGCAGAATATCTTGTATGTCGTCATGCATGTGAACTTGGTCTTAAACAGCCGATAAAACGTCTTTATGCAGTTGGTGTAAGTTTTTCATTTCATTTTTTTTAAAATTAAAACTCCCTTTTTTTTCTGTAAGGATAATCCAGATACTGATATCTATGGTGCCAATGTTTATAACCGTTATTTACAAACTCGATCATTATCACGATTAAATCAAGTTGTTTCACAAACAACAACTACCACTTTAACAGGCAATATAAAAAATATTATTGATAAAAATTTTTGGACTAATTTAAATATTGTTGAACTTGTTGTTAATGATGCTGAACACTATTATGCAGCTGAAAGTTTGGAATCAATACTTGTTTGTACCGGTGTTTATAATCGTGATATACATGATGAAACATCAGATAAAAATCATGGGCATCGTGATATGATTATTGATGCTGAGCTTAAAAAACCAAAATATATATGTGAACATGTTTTAGATGCTGTGAAACTTATATTTAATATAGAGCAATTTCATTAGTAAAAAGAAGAAAAAAATGTGTAAATTGTGTATAAACTAAAATCAAATATTGGCAATTCATTCTTTCCTTTTCTGTATCGGTGAAACGAATTCAGATTTGAATTTAAAAAAATGTATTTTTTAGTACTTATTTTAATCAGATAGTTTTTATATTTGGATATTTTTAATCTCTTTGTAAAAATCGTTTATCATTAAAGAGTACGTTTGTTTGTTTTTTTCTAATAAATGTATCTATAAATGAACACATTGTAGATCGATTTCTGATAATACTTCTCTTAGTTTAAATGCCAAACTGGATGAGTATTTTTCGTGTAGCATCATCTATTAGGCAACAGTTTTAGACAGATAATACTCGAGCTAATTTTAAATTAAAGTCATTATTAATGTGTATTTATTGTCGTAACAGACTTTTAAAATTTACACGCGTATTTCAAGGGGAAATAGTTGATCTTTTTATATTTAATCAATTGTAAATAAAATATACAATAAAATCAAATCAACCAAAGAAATAACTCAAAATCATCATATTTTTATTTTTTATTTTTTTGTCCAAAATATCGAGTATTTATTACACTATTGAAATGTATGAAGCTTGTTTTTGTTGCCTATAGGGCTTCGTACACAGTTTTAAAATATAAAAGGTTATGTTACAGATGCATATAGCATTTGTGATTATATTAGTATGCCCTTAGTATTTATTGTTTTTAGTCTTTCTTTATGGTCTAGAACGAAAACTAGATGAGAAAAGATTTGAAATAATGAAATTTGAACGATTCTAATTGTTTATATCGAGTAAGAAGACAAAAGATATGTTACAAACATATATTGAATGGATGTTCCAAAAGTTCTGAAACGATTTTAAAACTCATCATTCTTGTATTTGACGAAATCTAATTTTTTGAAATTTTAGAAGATTATTGTACTTACTGGGTACTAAATAACTGCAAAATTTCGAGTCGATCAATTTTATTATAGATGATAAACTGTAACAATACTAGCATGACAAATTTTATCAATGTTCCAATTACTTATGTTGATATTTTTAAATCCAAATAATTTTTCCATATAAAAAGAAATACACATCGATTTATTAATGTTCGTGTATTTGATTGCTATCTTGACGCATTCCTAATTTTAATCATACGAACATTAATCTATCATTCTTTGATATAAAAAAATATTAAATTTATTCTATTCTGTTTTAATATCGTTTTTCAATTGTCCAATGTTATCGCATTTCCACTCTCATCACTTCGATTCATAAAAATAAATCTGATGAAATTCACAACTACGAGCGTCTTTTGTTTAAAATCTTAATCATCTTGAAAAATTACATTTCTTAAATCACCTAATATTTTAGCAAAGAATGTAGGTAGGAATCAGGATGCATGTTTTTGATTATTATCTATCATCCATCTTACTCAACACACATCATTACATTCTCCTGTCGTACTACTTACATCCGATTAATTTTAATATTGTGATACTCATAGGCAAATGAATAAAGTCAATCATTGATAAGAGAAAGTAACATTCATGAAATGAATCATTGTTCGTTCATTGAAAAATTATTTCACGATAATGAATGCCTTTGTTTTTTAACCTTATCGATTTCAAACTTGTGAAAGAGAAAATGTAATTAAATCTTTTTGTTAGAATAAATAAGTTTCGTTCAACGTTTGTTTGTATTGATTACGATTGCTTTTTTCTTCTAAAATGCTTGTGTTCACGCGTGCGCGCGACTAGAGAGACCCTTGGACCATACTGGGATAGTGCTGCGGACAATGCCAGCAATGGTCGAGCAACCATACATGTGCGTGTATCATAGGTACGAGATGACTACAATGACATACATGTACCCCAAAGACCTCTCCATGCACTCCTATGGATGCCAACCGAATGTTGAATCTCTCTGACACGGCTACAAAGTTACCCCACATGCTTGTATCAAAAGGATGGAGAAGGAAACAAGCACAATGTAAGAGCGATATCATTAAAATCAATCCTATATGATCCTTCCTATCTTTACACGTTTCGTATCAGTTATAGTAGTTAAGAATAATTCAAATTGGACGACTTTTTTCTCTTGCATTCGCTACAAGTACAAAGAGTACGACTCCGAGATAGAGGAAAAGAAAAAAAACATCTAGCCCATCAATAATTCAACATCATTAGTATGTAAAGAAACAACAACATAAAATAAAATATAAACGGTTGTATAAGAAATTACTTCAAAAATAAATTTATAAATTTATTTTTTAATTCATTCATTAATTTATCGATTACATAGTTTCTTAATATTGTTTTGTAGAAAAACTTATATCTTCATGTGAAAGTTTACTGACAAGAAAGAAAGAAATTTAAAAACTTTTATTTTTATTTTACATTCTGAAATTTTGATCTATTTCATGAATAAGAAAATTATTGATTTATGATAAGAGATGTACTCAATCAAGTTTTTTTGATTCTGGTCTCGATCAAGAAAAAACTATTTCGGAATTTAGTCGCATCACATCGAAAATAATTCTTCAATACTCGTTTTTTTTATTTATGTTGTCTATGACTAGCATTTTTTTGGATTATCTCCCTTAAATTATGTTCTGACTCATATGATTGATAAGGTAATCTGCTTAAAACCATAGAATATTTATTATAAGCTTGAGTTTTCAATCCTGATCCCGGGATCAGAATCTGGACTGATCTCGAACATCTCAAATTACATAATATGTTTTTGTATTACGAGATATTAGTATGACAATACAAAATTGATTGATGATGTACGAAAAATGTTACTTGAAAAGCGACAGAGTTAAGGACATCATATAGTCTCAGATTCCGGTTCAGGTCAGGTCTCAATCTCGGTGACTGCGACCGAGATCGGGACTGGTCCCACACATCTCTATTTGTGATCCATTTTGTTAACGTGTTCTCAGTTGCAAAGAGTTAGAGGATGGGAGTATGTGTACTTTTTTCCCTAACACTCATATCCTGATATAAAACTATGCTAAACGACACATTTTATTGCTTATATTTTATATAGACATATAACGAATCGATTGCATATTACTGATTCATCAATATCATTTGATAATGATCAATTTAAGACCTGATTCTGTCAATAATAAATGTTTTCAATTGTAATGTCGATAAGACTTTCTGCTCCGAAATTGATTTGGCTTTGTAATTTTTTTTGATAGTTCGCACTGATCAACTTTTATTGACGAACTTTTGATTCAAGAGATGAAACTTGTTTAACAATGTCGATAAATAATTCTATGATTATGATAAATAATTTTTTTCTAGATCTATTTTCTCTTCACTGCACATGAAATACATACGTTGTTTTCTATTTACTAAATTTGTTCTATCACTAGATTTTGATGTTATAAAAAAGATAACAAAAAATTTTAATAATAAGTAATTTAGTAATCGATTGAACAAATTATTCTAGTTCAAATTTTGGCTCCAAAAATTGGACCTGAAATGATCGGTCTGCATACATTAATCTGAAAGAAGGCTCAAGAAATGTTATGTTTTTATTTTTTATAGAAATAAAAAACAAGAATCAATGACGAGCTCCAAATATGGAACTACCCACACGAACAATCGTACTTCCCATTTGAATAGCACGTTCATAATCATGCGACATACCCATTGAAAGTTCAATAGTATTTAATTCATAATTATACTTTGCACATAGTTCTTCTCGACATTTAATTAAAACTTGAAAATCTTGATCATTCTCTGTTTGAACATTATTTAATGAACCAATTGTCATTAAACCTTGACATACTAATAATGGACATTTTGTTTTAATATATTCATATAAAGATAAAAATTGTTTTGATTCAATTCCATATTTTTGTTTTTCATTACTTGTGTTTATTTGTAGAAGTATATTTAATTTTCGTGATTGTTTTTGAAGAACTAAATTTAAACGATTAGCTAAGTCAGTAGAATCAATAGTTTGAATACAATCAAGATTTGGTACACGTGTTAAAATTCGAGGAACCTTTTTCCGTTGTAGATGACCAACAAAATGCCAACATATATCTGGACATTGACTACGAATTAAATGATTATTAGATTTTTTTTCTAATTCTTCGACATAATTTTCACCAAAATAACGTTGACCAGCAGAATAAAGTTCAATGATATCTTCAACTGGTTTTGTCTTTGATATGGCAATTAAACGAACAGGTGAACGATGAGGTGGTGATAGTTCATTTATACGTTGAAGAATTAATTTTAAACGAGATACAAGTTCACTCATTTAATTAAATTTAATATCTAAAAATAGATATTTATAATTTAATATTCTACTTTCTCTACAGATAATTCGTATTTTGATAACATGTAAGAACTTGGCAACATCTAAGAGGAATAAGGAAAAACAGAAAATTAATTGTCAATAGAGTACAAAATATTTCTCTGATAACAATAGCAGAAGAGAACGATAGAAGTATTGATTATATTGTTCCAATAAAATAGACAGAGAAAAATTGCAACAGACACAAAAGATAAATTGTTATATGTATATATTTCAATAATTTTGATATGTAGTATTAATGGTTCACTTTTAATACCATTGGACAATGTAAGTTGTTTGTTTCCTTCACTGAAACCTAAGTCAATACTATACAGATATTCAACAGTGATATTGATATATCACATAATAATCTATACATGAATTCTTGTGTTTGAGAAAGAGTTAGAAGTGTAATATCGTGATGAATTTTATTATAAGATTGAAAATCTTTTAATTAAATAAAAAATCGAAACCTTTCTTAAACGACTTATAACTAATTGCAAACTTCATTAATCCTTGAGATACAGATGAAGAAATGTTGGGAAATTATTTTTTTGAAGTTTATTTAGATCTCTTGACTAATGTTTTAATCTTATAAAACATATTCTGACTAAATCTAAAGAAAGAAATTGTCCAGAACGATATGAGATCTTATTCTTCTAAAAACTATTGATTGTTACTGATATATCATGATACTCACATTAAATTTGGAAGCACCGTATTTTTTTTTGAACAGATCACAAACTTAAAAGTCTATTTGATATTCTATTAAATTTTTACAAAATTTAACAAGTCAACTAGATGCAATATTCTTTTTGATGATTCACATGTGCTTCCAATAAATACTTAATAATTACCTCCGATATCATCACAATTCTCATCGTTAGAAGTAGATAGACTACCAACAGAAAATTAGGATAAATTAAATATTCTATATATTTTCTCTTCTTTTCGCTTTTCTTAACCACCATTAGACAGACAGCTGAACAAAAAAAAAGAACGAGACATTGCTGTTTCTAACTCGAGTAGGAATATAATTATATAGTATCTTTGTTTGTACTTCTATTACACATTATGATTTGTATGAATATACGTAACAATGATAGTTATTATGATCTTGAAGAAGAATTTTAAAAAATTCATTCTAATTATTCCAAAAAATGAATAGTTAACATCAACAGGATCAATTAAACTTTTTATTGTTTATAATCAATAATTACCACTGTTGTTATTAAATAAAAATTTATTTCAATCAATAGACAAATGTTGTTCATGGAAACCAATGGGTATTAATAAAAATCTATCATATCACCCATGAAAAAAAGACAGATTTTAATGATTAGCTCACTAGAGTACATAACTATTCTTTGCTTTTTTTTTCTTAAAATTTTTTTCATGATATTCTCATTCTTCATTGAATCGTAATTTACTAAAATAACATGCTATATATTCATTAGAAATATTTTCTAATATATTCGCTGTTATTTAGATTTGTTATTTTTATCGTTAGAGACTAGATATAATAATTATTTTGTCAGAAGCAACATATTAGTTCAAACATCTTGGACAAATTCATGGTCTTTCAAAATCTATTGAATCATATGATATTCCTTTTTTAAATATTCCTATAGATTATCGTTACTTTTCTGATTTCTATTAGAAGCAAAGGTCATCGTATTTAACATCTTCATCATTCATGAGACGCTATCATTTTTTTAAAATGGCTGTTTAACTGTTTTCACATATTAACATTTAGTCTTATTATTTACATAGCATCATGTATAATTGAAACCTTAAAATAAAACTTAAATATGCATCGATTCAATATTTATACTCGAAAATTCTTTTACTGAATTATAATCAACTTTTGGTAAGTTAACAAGTTTTTGTTCAGTTTCTTCCAACTAACTATAAAAATGATATAAATTTAGTTGATATTTCTCTTCGATACAGTAACATGGAATTTTTTTTTGGATCTATTAATTTCAAGTGCTTAAAAGCACAATTTATCTTTGATATCATCACCAATAGAGAATACATTTGAACAAGAACTTTTTTATCAGTCAAATACACAGGACGGAAGAGAAAAAATCCTAATTTCAATGACAAATAAATCTGCTGAACTACTGAAAATGTTAGAGAATTTGATGCTTGTCATTTTATTGAATTGAGTAATTCTTTTTATATTAATATCATACAATAATACTCCATTATCTTCAGTTACATTAGCATTTCTAACTGAATAATATTAAGAAGAATACAACTCTGAAACTTTTCAAAAGATGAATAACAAACAGAAAATATATTTAAAAATTTGTTTAGATAACAATTAGCTCTTTACACAATTAATTAACTTATGTGAATATTTTTATTTTAATTCTATTATATAATTAAAATTCTTCTACAAAAGTGTATTATTTGTGAAAGACAAAATGTTGATTAGTTTAGCTTTAGAATAAATGATTGGTTGAATTTTATTTCATGGCCCACGAACATGTCAAGGTATTTGAGAATCTTTCATACACGAGAATGTATTGATGGAAAATTGTGCTGGTCTTTTCTTTGCCTTGAAAACTAACAAAAAGTTTCAAGATAATTGTCAACTGTTTTATTCAGAATTTCTATAACACATTTAACAGTATTTTATATATTTTCTGAAAATGATTAATAATTTGACAATATAGCATATTAGAAGTGCGACAGTATAGCAAAGAAATTTTTCGAAAAAAAATCTTATTTATATCTGAATTCTTGAGGTTAGTATCAACGTATAAAAAATAAACCTTGAATTATATCAATCTCTTTTCATGGCTTCATAAAAATGTTTGTCGAAGTTGAACCTATCAATTCATATAAATGATGATGAATCTAATCAATTTTTCCCTATAGAATGTAAGTTCTCTGATCAGTGAAGTAGCTAAAAAGATACAACAGATATTGGTTCAGTTTTTAGACCAGCTGATCGACGATAGATAGCATGAGTCTCGATAAAGGAGGGACTAGGGTGCTAGTTTCTTCCAGTTTTTGCATTGTGTCTGCGAAAATTTTGACTGGTAGCCTGAAAACTGTCTGTCAAATTCTGGCAGACAGTCTACGTCTGACTGTCTGTTGTACTGTAGTTTCTTCCAGACTCATAAGTCATTGAGAGCCATGATTGACCGATTCAGTTCGGTTTGATCTACCCAGAACCAAAACTAATATTAATATCGGTCATCAAAAATCCAGATCTATTCTATCTCTGATTGATACTCTTTGCATATTTGGTTCTAGATATCACAAGAGCTTCTATTACTTTCTTCCTTTGTACCAATTTCTTCTTCTGAAAATCTATGATTTTTATCCATGTATACGAAACTCCACATATATTTCCAAGACCAAGAAAGTAGAAGATGTAAGCTGAAAGTATAGACTATTTATTATGAAAATTTTATTATCGAATCATCAATCAATCCATGAATGCAAACAACACGTAGAGTCAATTCTGATTAAAATCATTTTAAGAAATGAAAATGTAAGAAAATCAAACGCATAATACAAAACTTATTAAATAAAGTCCTACGAACAAAGCTCTCATTGAAAATAATTAATTAAAACAAGCATCTATTTTATCATCTATCAGAAAAATTTGATGTACTAGCTCACCTATATATGGGTAAAATCATTCGTTAGCGACGTGACATCGTAAACTTGGAGTATGCACATCTCGGCACTATCAACTAGTTTAGGTATGATTTTTGAATGGTGTACGAGTCTCTATTTACTCTAGATACTATGAAAAAAACAACACTCTAGAGCTTTGTTCAGAGGAGTTATTAACGAAAAACTAGCGTTAGCGACGTGACACCAAAAAGGACATCAAAAGTCACTTGATATACTTTGGTTTTTAAAAATTTCTAAGTGTTGCACAATTGTCAAAAACTTAATACGCGATACTAGACACCACTCCTAAGGCCACCAAATCCCAGTGTAAAATTATTTTGAGAATGTTTAGGTTTTTAAAAAATTAAAATCTATTTGGCGTTAGCGACGTGACAACTTTGTTAGCGACGTGACTGAGTACGACTACACTACTGATCGAATGCTCTGGTAACGAACTGAAAAGTTCGAAATCGATTCCAAGGGGCTCATATTAATGGTAGGAGGTCCTAGAATAATACTAAGACAAACATTTCCATTTCCGCTCTGTCTAAGGGCTCTGAAAGGTCGATTTTTTGGAAGGAACTTTTTGAAGTCCGATCTTGATGAAAATTTTACCATATATGCGGCTCATACCCTAGAGCCAATCCTGAAGTTTTCAAGTTTTTTCCTCATTCGGTTCTCGAGATATTCGCTAATTACTTCTTAATTAGTTAATTATTAATTAATTAATTAATTAATTAATAATCATATGAAAGAGCAGACAGTTTTACATAAGCCTATGCAAAAACAATTCACTCAAAACATCTATACTGATAGAGAATTGCATTCAAATGCAATGGTGGAATGTCCCGTTTTCGCTGATTTTACCCATATATATATCAATGATTATCAATTGTTTTTTTCTGACAAATGCAATTCTTTATCGTGTGATAATTTTTCAAAATAATGAGCACTATGTTCATCAGAAAGTATTTCTAATAAATTAGGTTTTCATTGAAGTTTGTTATCTTTATCAATAAGAACTAGAAAAATAGAAAGATAAATGAAATTTGTTTTTTTTTCTTTTGTTATCAAGAGTGACATACAAGCTGGAACATCTTCGAAAAAATCATGATCATTTATAGCATAATGTAAAATGCGATATTCCATTTTTAAACATTCTTTTAAATCGAATTGTTTTCCTCGTTTCAATAGTACTAATGTGATTTTTTAACGATATTGGACTCTAAATAGACAAATAATTAAAATATCTAGAGAAAATATAAATAACTAACCATTTTCTTAAGAATTGAAAGTTGTTTTAAAGCAAATAATGATCCATCAGATTCTAATTGTTCGAAAATAGTTTCAACATTTTTTTACATCTATTGAAAACACTCGATTACGCAACGGTAATTTGTTCAACAACAAAATATACTGTTCCTGAGAAAAAAAACTGACTCTAGTTGAAGATTTTTAAAATGCATCAAAGCTATTCATTAAGATTATTATGGTTAAACGATTAATGATCTTGAAAAACTTCCGAAACTTAACTCTTCGACTTCGATTGAGAACTATGTGCAAAGATCTTTTCTATATGTGCAATACCTACGATTCCTCTTCATTGGAAAATTCTTAATGAAATCAAGATACTGATTTTCAAAACTATCGGTTTAATATACACTTTCTTTTTTCATGAACTATTATTATAGATAAGAAAAATTTGAAGACATAAAAGTCCAACATTTTCACTTAAAACGAAGAATATACTTTAAATGTTATTTTCTTTTTTGCAGCACTTCGACAAATTCTGAAAACTTATCGATTCACTACTTTTATCCAAAATCTCTTTTATTGAATTATAATCAACTTTTGATAATTTAACAAGTTTTTGTTCAATATCTATCAACTAAATATCACAATGATATAAATATGAAAATATTAACAATACTCAATTAGTTGAAACAAAATGCGTTACAATACCAGCATGCACAACATCCATACTACGTAAACGATGAACTGTTAAACCAAGAAATACACCAAGATTATTCGATAGACGCGGAAGAAAATATGAATCACCAGCATTTGGAAACAAACCTTTTTTTAAAAAATGAATCATATAAATCAATGAACAATTTTTTTCATTTACCAATAGTTGTTTCAGACATAGCAACTGTTGTTATTTATATAGCTATTCGAAATGATCCATGTACTGATAAAGCACAACCCTGTAATAAACAAAATGATAACTGCTTAATTCTATTCAACATACTCCACCCATTGTAATACCATTGATCAATGCAACATACAGTAATTTATAAGTTCCAATAAGATAAATAAGTTGATATTCGTCTCTTAAATAATTGGTTCGAATATTTTCGTTATTAGATGGTGTCATTGAGAGAACTAAAATTTGACTTATTTGTTCATATGAAATAAATAATTCTGTTTTTTTTTGTTACTTTTAATATCACTACCAGCAGAGAATGCTCTTGATCCAGTACTTTAAATAATAATTAATTCAGGTTTATTTAATTGCATAATTCCTATTTTATTTATATAATGAAATAGAACTTCATTATCTTGAGTTATATAGATATTTCTTTTTGAACAATACTGAGAAAAACTTATTTGTATTATTTTTCGAAACATTTCATTTATTGAGAAATGAAGCACGTTAAGACTCACGACATCTACACTTGATTTGACCATTCATATAATATCGCTAACACCAATACATACCCATTCTAAAATATCTCCTATCTAAATTTTTTTTTTTCAACCAAAATTATGTCAAATCTTGATAATAATACTATTAATTGTGCTATTTATCGATCAAATGATCAAAAGAGTAACTATAAAATTAGGTATGATAAATATCAAATATTAAATTCTATTAATAAATCCAATTTTTTTTAATTACATTAGAACTTTTAACATGTAGTTCATTACTACCTAGTTTAGAACGACTAAAAATTCAAGATTTATCTCATTTACGAAATAATAATGAGCAACATATTAAAAAAAACAGGAAAGCTAACAGAACTGAAATGCCACAAGCATTAGATGAAATATAAAATTCAAAATTAGAAGTAATTGTTATCAGCTGACAAGAGAAATTTTTTAGTCGTGTATTTGGATAGTTTTCTATTTGTCTGATTTTTAATTTTAAGTTTTACTTAGTTCAAATTTAAAAAAAACGAAAGAAATATTGGACCGTATAGAACAGCACTTGAACAAAAATATTTTAATGAGGTACATAAAATGAAGTAAAAATTCAAAATTTCACTACACTTTTTGGAGAAGATCAAATATACTTAATCATGACATGAATCCTACAACTTGAAGCATATCAAGTTTCAATTGAGCAAAATACAACTCATAAAGCCCTCAGACAAAACTAATTTTCAATCATTTCTAAAGTTTATTGACTATTTTTAGCATTTGTGCATATATTATTACTCACAAATTCACTTAGATAGTATTTTGCTTTGATCACCTTAGAGTTGTATCACTTACCAATTGAATACTTCATAAGAACAAGTTTTAAGAAAAGTATACTTAATTACAAATGCATTTTTACATTCAGCAGAAAAAACATGTCTCGAGAACAGTATCGTCGCCCTTTACAGCATGCTCTACAAAAATTATTCAGGTTTTCTTTATGAAGAGTTCTTTCTCACGATTATCTCATTTAATCAAAGCAGTACACATCCTAATGCATCACAGGTGAATATGTTCTAAAAATTTCAACACATTTGCAGAATGGAACAACATTTTCTTAGCTGAAAAAAAGAATACAAGTCAAGACGCAGATTGGAACATTTTCAATGAAGTATGCCTTCTATGGTTGAGTACACATTTCTTTTTGCAAAAGGGTGCAATAGTATTTTTCAAAATGGATGCAGATGATTCCTAAGTCATCCTTCATTTGTATTTAACTATTCTTTTTCTAGAAACCATTTCTCCATCGACAATCCTATTTATTCAAATGAGCTAATCAGTAATAAATAAGCTTTGAGTACATTGCATTTTGAAGAGATTCTCTTTACATTACTGAAATCTTCACATAAACAATTGACATATATAAACATCGATTAAAACCTTTTTAACTTTCTTTCTTTTAGCTATTCAGTCATATGAAACCATAAATGATGCGAATGATTGATCTTATATTTTAGAAAACATTTTCTATTGTAAACTGTACCGAGGTATTCGCGTCTGTATGACTGTATTGTTTCAAGAATGCTTTTCTTACTGATGATCCGTTTAATTTCTTGTTGTATTAAAAGATAAGTTTGTTTTCCTATTGAATTAGACTTGAATAAATTGAATAGACTCAATTTCTGATAATGAATTGGTCAAAAGGAAGTTCAAACTAGAAATTGTCATGTTGAGATTATCAAACAAAAAAAAATATAACCTTTTTCAGTAACATGATAAAGACTCTTGTATAACTCGCAAATGACTTAACAGAATAGAAGATCATTCATCTTCTGATGTATTCAGAGCTTTAATCTGTATTTTACATATGAGATAGATAGTGTTGGATATCTGGAGTTTGTTTCTACTCAGATAGTGAAAAACTTCTCAAAAACATGTATAAACACAGAAAATAATTGGACATTTTTGGATGGTAGTCGCAATTTCCGATGATCGAAAAAAACCGGCGAAACATAGAAAGCGTGAAAAGTATGAATTCTCAAGCATCTAACTTTTTTCATCATATTTTCACTAATTCTGAGGAAAAAAATACTTCAACCACCCATGTGGACGCTTGAAAAGTTAACTTTTTCAGTGTTTACATGCGTGTGGAGAATAGTGGACATGAAAACATTCGTACAATTCACACTTTACGCGTATAAACGGTACGAATAATGGAAATTCAATATATGTGCGTGAAAGACTCATTCTCAAAAAAGAAACAATTGTTGTATAAGGAGATCAGATGAAGACTGTGAACAGAGATGTTTAAACAAGAGAACATTCTCAAGTGATTCGAGCTCATGTTTTGTTGATGGCTAGAGTTGATCATGTATATAAATTATCTAAAAGGATTCGTGTGATTCCTGCTCGGTATCAAAGTTTCGAGCGGAACAAGTATCATGGTTGATGATACCACCTTCTCTGTGTTAGTTTTTTTTCTTTTTGTATCTTAACTAGAATATAGTTTTTTCCAGTTGAACACTTGATTGTCAGCTTATCTTGTTTGGACTATTGACTCTAAAATTCTCCGTTGAATCTGACTTTGTGTTCAGAAGATGGGAAAGAGGAGCTCTGATCATTGTTCTGTTATAAACGCATAAGACACTACGCAATCTAAAAAAAACAGAAAATATTTTTCTTTATGGTCTACGAAATAAAACCCTTTTGTTGTGTCCAATGCAGGTTTCTTAGGTTTTTTACTTGAATGTGGAAGGTTTGTTTCACTCATTTTTCTTTTGAAAATATCATTATTATTAGGCTTCGATCAGTATCCCTCAAACGTTCATATTAATTTTGATTGTTCTTTTTGTATGCTTTTTCATTTATTTATTTACTAAAAAATACTAAAACTACTTTTTCATGTTAATTTTATTTTTCCACATGAAATCAAAGGAGAGCGAAGAAATCTTGGGAGGACTCATGGATGAAACAAATAAAGGTGATTATTCAAAAAAAAGGATAAGAAA